AATGTCATCCTCTGTCAGTTTATGTGTCGGGCTATTCTCCGCCCAAAACACTGCATGTTTCACCGCTTCCTTAAAAGACTTAGCTTCCCTGCAGTGTAACGCACTTTCCCGCGGTAATGCACCGAAAAAAACACTCCGTTGCATAGAATCTCTTACTACCCCCGTGAACTGCGTTTCCGTCCGCTCAATCACATCACCCAAGAGTCTTATTCTATGGCCAAACGCCCTTAATTGTTCCCCTGGTTCTCGTTTAAGTGCAGCTAACTGAGCCTTTAGTTCTACTGCATCGTGCTGCACATCGTAATGATCTATCAGTTCCTGCTTAAACTCGCTATAACTATTTATTTCTCTAATTTCCGCAGAGTTGAGCAGGGTCTTTGCTTCCCCTTTCACCTTGGAATATGCCAATGCAATCTTTGCCTGATCCGACCATGACCCCACACTAGTCGCCTTCTCTAGAGCAAAGAAAAATGTTCTAATATCCGTCAGTAACTGACCTTTCGAATCCCGTTTGGCGCCCCAAAACGTGGGTATGTCTCCATATACCTTAGGTCCTGCATTAGTCGTCTCATGCGTGCTCAACACATTTTTCAACCACTGTGCAACCTGCCCAATTGTCTCTGACGCTGCCGCCTGCGCCGTAAGCAACGCCGCCGTGTTATCACCACTCTCACCCTGACCGACATTACTCGTGGCCTGGCCACTGGCGCCCCTATTACTACCCGTACCCGTCATGGCTACTCGCCCCTTATGTGCTCGTGTATGAACCAGCTTGACGCTTTACCGTACAGTAACCTTACTTGGCCTTATTCCCTTAATCTCACTAGAATCACTTATAATTTTAAGCCTCCATTAACAACGTCACTTATCAGTTATCCACACTACTGTTTCCACCCCTTAGGGGACCTTTCCCTGCCGCACAACGTGGCCACTCCACTTGGCCACACACCTTGGCCCCACACCCCACTATGGCCACTCACTGGCCCACACACCTTCCCTTCCTCACTCCAATATCCACCGTTCTGAACACAACCCGACGTCTACCAATTCCCGAACATTCCCTCACCAACTAAACCAGTAACACACTTCCTTCATCTCTCAAAGTGTTCCAAACCTGTTTGCGCTGCCACCAAATATGTCGTGACGCTGAACCCCGGTTCATTCCGAACACAGCGATTACACAACACATAACACCTTGCCTCAGCACCCGTTACTACCACCGTGTACTCCTACACACACCAGACCCTTGAGGCGTACCACTAGGTTTGTACTGGAACACAATGAATGAACATACGGAAGGTATTTAAAGGCCGTCGGATTTTGTCATTTAATTACAAAGAATAGACTCTGACAAATAATACTATATTAATTAACATACTCTATTAGGTCAATACACTTCCAATACCCATAGACCACTTGACCTCCGCGATCACCACCCACACTCGTAACTTCCGCCTAAGTCCCTAATACGGAATGATTACTACAACGCTCCACACCCGGTTAGTCTTACATTCAATACTCACATACTGCAGACTTAACTTGGTCACTAAGATCACAACAGGCTCTCGCATAGCTGTCTGCTACACTTCGCTGCTGCCACAACCGGGGATCCAAAAGGACTTGCTCGTTCAACTTCCACAATCAGACTGCTCCAGTCAGCCATCTCCCTCAACCATTTCACCCCACCTCTCAAGGAAGGTATAATCCGATTAACCTTATCCCTAGAGAGGTAATCTTGTTCCTAGAAGCCTGACGAAGAATAATTCCTCTTTCCAGGAATTAATCATTTGGCTAAACAGCTTCGGTCTTAATCCATTGACCTTTCTTAGATATGTGATCCATAGTCTGTCTACTTACATGAACTTCCAATCATCATTCGTTAAGTGTTGTAGTAATGATCCTCTAGCTAATAATTCCTACTAACTTGTGGATTACAACATACTCTGTGGTGCTCTCTGATCCCCCAAACTTTCCTAAGCCTCTTTGAAGGGGCCAGATTGTGGTTCTTATCTGCAGAAAGTGTTCATTAGAGGTCTTGTGTGTGTCCCAAGGCTTGGATGTTCTCAGCATTGGGAAGCTATGGAGGGGGAGCTCTACCAGACACAGCCCTGAAACTGTCGGAACAAGTCAGAACCAACAGTATTGACTGCATTCCAGAGAATTTTTGTCTTAAGAGGGATGTAAGAAGGGCTGGTTTGAGAACAGTGTTATGAATTAATGGAATGGGGTGGCAGCTTATTGAGACAAACAGTTAATAGCTTTCAAGAATAGTATATGGGTGAAAAAGAGGGTGGATATAAATGGAGCTGCCTAGTATGGGCCAACAGGCCTGCTATGGTACTTCGTAATTCTTTTGTTCTTGCGAGGTCTTCCACTGCACCTACAGCCTTATTTATTCAGTGGTATTTGCTAACCTTCATCTTGTCACTATGATTTGTGGCTTCCCTAACTTCTCAATTGATTCCTTTTCTCTAACCCACTTCAGGAAGAGTTACTTACATTTCTGCCTTACATTCCTATATGTATTCCCTTCATGACGTCCTATAGCTGAGCTCTCCAAATATCCTCCCCATATTACATGGCCTACGAGGTCACGTGTGTATGGAGTTTGAAAGCACTATTTCCCATCTAAGTACTGTCTCCACTCGATTATCCGGACTATATGAGAAGGACCCCCAGCCGGATATTCACGTGTTCCGGATAATGGTACTTTTTCACCTCCGAGTCCAAAAGTGACCATTTCCAACTATTTTTATACTACAAACAACATAATTTGAATTGCCTTGCCACATATAATTATTAAATATTCAACTAGAAACCTCAGTTTACCTTGTTGTTGTTTGTCTTCTTGATTGATGCCACACATCTTGAAGTTAAGAATTCTTAACAATTTACGTAACCTATACTAACACAACACTAAAATTAACACTTAAAATTACTGTACAATTCATTAAGCAAAGTTAGTTTTGACTGCCAGCTGCTGAAGCCTCACTGGCTGAAGGCATTTGGCTTGCCTGTGACGCCTCACTTGTTGAAAGCGCTTGCTTGCGCCTCACTTGTTGAAGCCACGTGGCTAGTCTGTGATGCCTCACTTGTTGAAGGCGCTTGCTTGCGCCTCACTTGAAGGCGCTTCGCTTGCCTGTGATGCCTCACTTGTTGAAGGCGCTTGCTTGCGCCTCACTTGAAGGCGCTTGGCTTGCTTGTGATGCCTCACTTGTTGAAGGCGCTGGGCTTGCCTGTGATGCCTCACTTGTTGAAGGCGCTTGCTTGCGCCTCACTTGAAAGCGCTTGCTTGCGCCTCACTTGAAGGCGTTTGCTTGCGCCTCACTTGAAGGCGCTTGGCTTGCTTGTGATGCCTCACTTGTTGAAGGTGCTGGGCTTGCCTGTGATGCCTCACTTGTTGAAGGCGCTTGCTTGTGCCTTATTTGAAGGCGCTTGCTTGCGCCTCACTTGAAGGCGCTTGCTTGCGCCTCACTTGTTGAAGGCGCTTGGCTTGCTTGTGATGCCTCACTTGTTGAAGGCACTTGGCTTGCCTGTGATGCCTCACTTGTTGAAGGCGCTTGCTTGTGCCTCACTTGTTGAAGGCATTTGACTTGCCTGTGACGCCTCACTGGTTGAGGTGTATAACACGTAACTTGTCTTTAATTGTTAGAACAACCTTCTTCCTCTTAACACCTCCAGAATGATTGATGCTGCTACCAGACATAGTCTTGGCCAAAAATGTTCAAAGTTACTATGAAAATAAAAAACTTATTTAAAAGAATATTTCACTAATGGCGCGACACTGTGGTATAACACGAGGGATGGGAGCACATGGGTTGACCAGTGTTGGACGGGTCCACTTGGGGCAGCTATAGCACGTTACATAGGCCACCATGAGGAAAATCTCACAATATTTTTGAAGGAAACTTCAGCCTGTACACATTGTCTTAAGGAAACTTATATATTTGTTATTACATAATTACTAGTATTTCTTTTGCTTTTGGCTATGATGAATTGTTCTAAAATTAAATTTCTTTTGCTTTTGGCTATGATGAATTGTTCTAAAATTATTGGTAATTCCTGTACCCAGGTGGTCCCTCCCGACGCTTTCCTCCCTCCCACCCACCCCACCCTCCTCCTCCAGCCAGCCAGCCACAGCCAGACAGCATTAATATGGTATGGCCCGCCCCATGGCTTTCATATCCGGACAATTCAATGATTATCCGGCTGACTGTCCGGATAGTATTAACATCGGCAGCAAGTTAACCGGCTCCGATTTTTTATCCGGCTCCCATGGCCATTTTGGCTGGATATTGAGATAACTTTATCAGGTCAAGATTTTGGCCATATAAGGGCATTTTCCGGATGTTCGAATCCCGGATAATCGAGTGGTTACAGTATATTTCACTTATTCACTTTCCTGACTGCTAATATAAATTCTAATACTTCTCTTGTTCATTTGGGTAATAGTTCCCATCAGTGTTCCCTTGTTTGTGTACTACCCATTTAAAATAAATTGTTCTCATTGGTTGTGTGTGTTCCCTTGAGAATATTTTATGTGGCAATATACAATATTATCTTCTGGTTCATCTATCTTTCAGTATCAAAGTTCAACATCTTTAATCGTTCTCATAGCTCACAACTCTTAGGCTCGGTTATTAGTCATGTGGCACAGTGGTATATGTCCTCGGCTTAAAATTGCTTAAAATTGAGGGACCCGGGACTCAAGGTAAGGTAAGGTAACCCGGGTTCAATGCCCAGACAAGACAGTTTAGTTTGGACATGTTTTCTTTCACCGGATGCATTTGTGGGATGGTCAGCAGCTGCTCGGGGTGGGACCTGGATAAGCCTAACACAGACTTCCTGTCCTTCCAACAATGGGAATTTAAACAAATGCACAATGTATATGTTTAGGAGGAAGGGAAGCGTTGGAAATGTTATAATCTTAAATGTTTCGTTAATGAAATATTGTGATGTAATAAGTCAGAACCTCATTTTACAAACTGTCTTATTTTCAGAGAATGGTTGTATCTGGAAGAGTGCTGCTGCTTGCTGGGCTGTGTTTTCCCAAGGACTGTCTTGTGATACACCTTCAGTTAAAGAAGCCACGGTGCTCGCTCTCACCACTGCCTTGCCAGCATTTAATTCTCATTTCCTCTGCTTGATTGCCCAGTCCTTAACTTCTCTTCTCATTACTGAAAATAATGATGTACTAAGGTAGGCAACTAAAGTCCAGTAATTGATTTTGGTTAGTGCAGGATATATAATGGTTAATTGCAACAGTATGTAGAATATATTCACGCTTCAGACTGTAGGACAGAGATCTACGTCCTCGCCTGTCAATTCAGCCCATCCTCCTAAGTTTCCCAATGTCAAGAAAATGGTCAGTTTAAAGTGTCCTAACCTATCAGAGAACCTAAAATAGAAAACGGGACAGTACATTGCTTTCGCGAGCTGCTTCCATTTTCTAGTACAGTACGCCAATTTTTAGCCTTATGTACTGGTAATTGGTTCTGACCACCAGTACCAGTTTCATAGCTGGTACTGGTGGTTAGTTTGCTTGCTACCTGACAGGGTTCTACCGGCTTAGCTAGCCCCAGTGCCTGGGCTTCCTATAAGGCCGGTCGGCCGAGTGGACAGCACGCTGGACTTGTGATCCTGTGGTCCCGGGTTCGATACCGGGTGCCGGCGAGAAACAATGGGCAGAGTTTCTTTCACCCTATGTCCCTGTTACCTAGCAATAAAATAGGTACCTGGGTGTTAGTCAGCTGTCACGGGCTGCTTCCTGGGGGTGGAGGCCTGGTCGAGGACCGGGCCGCGGGGACACTAAAGCCCCGAAATCATCTCAAGATAACCTCAAGAAGGCTAATTCACCCTACAGGACCTGGAAAAAACCCTGTGGGCTCGGTCGTACAATGGCTGCTTCTTCTGAGCCCGTTCTCGCTTTGTGCAAAGTCGAAGGGTGTTCATTGCCCCTGCCTCAGGGAAACGATCATCCGTATTGCCTCCGTCATGCTGCCTGTTAGGTCAGGGACACCACCAACCCAGTGTCTTGCGAGCATTGTTTCCCACTTGTACTTCGCTTTACTCATTCCTTGTCTGTTGATCTCAAGGGTCAGGCAGCAGCTGCGTTGCATGCTCGATTCTCCTTACTGCTACAAGCCGGGTTGGTTGCCCGGTTGGAGCTGCCCCGCTTGAATTTTAGGGACCCGGATTTGGGGGCATTGGGCACTTCAACCTTGTTTCCTTCCACGCTCCTGCTTCCTTCCCAGGTGGGCGTGATTCGCCCTGCTCCTTTTTCCCCCTGCTTCCAGCTCCTGGACGTCTAAGGGTTTTCAGAGTCAGGGTGGGGATTAGCTCGTGATGAGGCTCGGGTGACTTCAGAAGCTGCCTCTTCCGATTCAGGCTCAGAGGTAGTCGAGTCTGATTTTCCCGCCAAGGCTTCTGGGTCATCCCAGTGGATTTCCTTCTTGGAAGCTTTTACCCTGGAAGTCACCTTCTCCAAAGGGATGGTGGGCGTGACCCGGATTACGCCTCAGGTGATGGATCCATCTTCTTTTGAGTTAGGTTCGACCTTTCCCTATTGGGAGTGTTATGAGGTACCGGAGTCTTCCTGGTTGGTGGAAGAGAGCAGAACCCTCTTCCACCAACCAGGGCCCAATCAGAGCCCAAGAGCACTTGGGCTCCTTTTGCCCCTGCTGGGCCCATGTGCCTTGTGGGCAGGGGTGGTTGTTGCAGGGGAGGGGGTTTTTGTCCCCTTCTTTCCTTTCTGAATTAGTTTTAGCTATTTGCCGGTGTGATTTATGCACCCTCACGTTGGACGCATCCATCTTTTGCATGGATGTTTTGCCTCGAGGGGAAAAAATATATATGTTTTAATGTAATGACTTTTTCATTTGGTTATTGCACGTTCTTTTCTGGTGCTTACCTTCATTTACTGCGGCTCCTTCGGTCCGGGATTTTTTTCGGAAGGTTTTATTTTGTTATTTCTTTGGATTTAGGTTGTTGGATGGGTGAGCTTCATGCTGTCCTGTGCTGGGGTTTTTGTTCCTAGGGGTCATTTTGTTCATTTGCAGCCTGCTCCCTCTTTTCTGGCGAAGTATAATTCGGACGGTTTCCGGAGAGGTCCCTTGGTTGTGGAAGTTTGGATGATTCAGCTGAGGGTGCATCATGCGCTTTGTTCGGTGGTGGTTTTACGGCGCGACCTTCAAGCCACTGGTTCTGTTTCAGTGGACTCATTGTGGGTTGATCCAGTTTCTCTGGTTCCCTGTTCCAGAGCTTGTGTTTCTCAGGTTGTCCGCAGTGTTGTTAAATCTAGCCAGCCTGCTGTCTACCCCTTCCCCTCTAGAAAACCAGCATTGATTGTAATGAATGAATGTAATGAAATGGCTTTTTCTGAGTGAGCCTCAGTGGTTCTCTGATTCTGTCCCTTCATTCCAGGTTGTTGGTTGGGGAGGGAGGGGTGGGGATCGTTAGCTCATCTATTCCAGAACTTGTGGTATAGACCAGAAGGCTCCAGGACCTCTGGGCACCCCTCCTAGCTGGTGGGGGTATTGGTGACGTGCTCATGCTTGTTTCAAGAGAGTTGATCATTTGTTTATAGTGTTGGGGTAGTTTGTTTGGCAGTTGTTGAGGCTCAAGTCTATATGGAGCCAGCAGTGGTCTGGATCAGTGTGCTGACTTTCTGGATGTTTTCCCGGTGGGGTGATGGAGTGTTACCTGCTCCCTGTGTGTGTGTGTGTACTCGCCTATTTGTGCTTGCGGGGGTTGAGCTTTGGCTCTTTGGAACTGCCTCTCAACTGTCAATCAACTGGTGTACAGATTCCTGAGCCTACTGGGTTCTATCATATCTACATTTGAAACTGTGTATGGAGTCAGCCTCCACTAAATCACTGCCTAATGCATTCCACCAGTTGATTACTCTGACACTGAAGAAGTTCTTTCTAACGTCCCTGTGGCTCATTTGGGTACTCAGTTTCCACCTGTGTCACCTTGTTCGTGTACCATCTGTATTAAACAGTTTATCCTTATCAGCCCTGTCAATACCTCTGAGAATTTTGTAGGTGGTGATCATGTCTCTTCTTACTCTTCTGTCTTCCAGTGTCATGAGGTGCATTTCACGCAGCCTTTCTTCATAACTCATGCCTCTTAGTTCTGGGACTAGCCTAGTGGCATACCTCTGAACTTTTTCCAGCTTCGTCTTGTGCTTGAAAAGGTGCAGGCTCCATGCTGGGGCCGCATACTCCAGGATTGGTCTTGCATATGCACTATACAAGGTTCTGAATGATTCCTTACACAGGTTCCTGAAGGCTGTTCTGTTCTGTTCTGTGTAATTACCTAAGTGTAGTTACAGGATGAGAGCTACGCTCGTGGTGTCCCGTCTCCCCAGCACTCTTTGTCATATAACGCTTTAAAATTACTGACGATTTTGGCCTCTACCACCTTCTCACTTAACTTGTTCCAACCATCTACCACTCTGTTTACAAAAGTGAATTTTCTTATATTTCTCCGGCAGCTTTCTTTCGTTAGTTTAAATCTATGACCTCTTGTTCTTTTGAAGTTCCGGGTCTCAGGAATTCTTCCCTATCAATTTTATCGATTCCTGTTACTATTTTGTACGTAGTGATCATATCTCCTCTTTTCCTTCTATCTTCTAGTTTTTGCATATTTATTACCTCTAACCTCTCCTCGTAGCTCTTGTCTTTCAGTTCTGGGAACCACTTAGTGGCATGTCTTTGCACCTTTTCCAGTTTGTTGATGTGCTTCTTAAGATATGGGCACCACACAACCGCTGCATATTCTAGCTTTGGCCTAACAAATGTCGTGAACAATTTCTTTAGTATTTCTCCATCCATGTATTTAAAACCAATTCTGAAGTTAGAAAGTGTAGCATAGGCTCCTCGCATAATATTCTTAATGTAGTCCTCAGGTGACAGTTTTCTATCTAGAACCACCCCTAGATCCCTTTCTTTGTCAGAATTCTTTAAAGATTTCTCACATAATTTATAGGTTGTGTGGGGTCTATGTTCTCCAATTCCACATTTCTTAACATGGCATTTATTAACATTAGATTCCATTTGCCAAGTGTTGCTCCATATACTTATTTTGTCCAGGTCATCTTGAAGGGCATGACAATCATCTAAGTTTCTTATCTTCCCTATTATCTTAGCATCATCAGCAAACATGTTCATATAATTCTGTATTCCATCTGGTAGATCATTTATGTAGACAATGAACATTACTGGTGCAAGAACTGAACCCTGTGGTACTCCACTTGTGACATTCCTCCAGTCCGACACATTGCCTCTTATTATTGCCCTCATTTTTCTATCAGTCCAAATTTTTCATCCATGCTAGAAGTGTAACGTACGACTATGTTACGTTGTTGGGTAGATTAGATACACAGTGTTTAGTGAGTTTCATATTTATTTTAATAGTCCTGGATACAGCAGTGTCGTAGACGTTGAGACGGAGCTTGGAGCAGAGCTTGGAGCAGAGCTGAGTGTGGCCGGAGTCGCGGAGCTCTATGTGGGAGAGCATTGTAGCTGGATGCGGTCCTAGTCTGCTGCCTGTTCTGTGTCGAAGCTGTAGCGTCTTGGAGACGATTAGAACTGCCTACGCAGAGTGCTACATTCTTGACTGGAAATTGTACCCCCACCAGGCAAATGAAAATAAAAACAAAAGAAAAACCCCGCAAAAGTACACCGTCTCCAGAGGCAACAGGAACCGGTCGCCGCTTAGGTGTCAGGTCGCGCAACACCTTGATGCCCTAACCAGTACAATACCAATCCCTACCCAGGGCCAAACAAGGGCCTCAAGCCCCAGCTGGCCCCAAGGGGCGAGGCAAATGCCGAGCAGCAAGAACCTCTATGGGAATGGTTCCCGAATGCCCCAGGGAAGATAACCCTGTCACGCAGGGGCAGTACTCACAGGGCGCTTAGGGAAGGAAGCCCCTAAGTGCATGCAGCCCCGGCACTGATGAGGTACTCCTGGCCACCACACAACACAACACACGGCAGTGAACGCCACACAAGGCAAACACCGCCTAAGAAACTGAGGCCAGAGAAGCGTCTATCCTGGTTGACATTAGCTTATGAACTGAAGCTAGGCAGCTGGCGCGGTAGGTCCGGGGCTCCCCCCTCCCCCTCTCGGGGCGGGGAGGGCTGCGCAGCAGTAAAGTGTGATGTTTGCTTGTTTCCTTGGAATTGTAGGGAGTT